ACTAATATCGATATATTTTTGTCAAATTTTTATGATATCTTCAAACATATATTTTATTCAAAAATAAAAACATCATCGCTTTCTCAAAATCACATAAAGTCATATTMTAAYATCGAYTGAGATAAGGAATAAAATGAAATATTAAAATCATGATGTATCTCACTACATTGTGCGAGTACGCTTCTAGTATATTAAAATCAAGATGTATTTTGTTTTTTACACGAGTACCCTTCTGGTAAATAAAAAAATAATCGGAAAGGGACGTAGGAGCGAGTTATGGATCGAGGCCCAATACGGTTATTCCACCCGTATCCGACCAAATATATTCCATATTAAAGCGGCGTCAACGATTTCATCCAAACAAAATTTATAACTATAAAAAACTATCTATGCTCCACCCTACCCCACCCCCAAACCACCACCGGCGCCCATCGGAACACACTGTACGGATGATCCAAATCTCTGCAAACCGTGAGTCTATCTCTAAATCCTCTCTCAATATCTTCGATTAATTGTTCAATGATGTAGTTTTAAATCTAAATTACGATTCGATGTTTCCTTCCTATGCAATAATCATCTTTTATATCTCTATCAATGTTTCAATCTTATTGTTTATTTACAATCATTAATTAATCACTTATTACTGGTAGGGTTTTTTCTACGATTTTCGATTTGTGATTTGAACTATGGGTACTTCGGTTGTTGTTTCGTCAACCATGCAACGTATGTAATGATTTTTGTTGAATGAGTGTTATTGAGTGAGGTGTGATGTCAGATGTGGTTGATCATCTTTCGTAATCTAATCTGTTGATTCAAATCATTTTTTGTTTGAGTTTATTAAACGCAATTTGGTTTTTGCAATTTATGATTTCAATTAGGTGTAAAAGGTTAATGAACGAGTGTTTGAACCTGTGATAATTTATGGGTTGTGTTTATATGTTTGATTTAGATTCTGTATACCAATTTTTTGTCTGTGTCTGTAGTATTTGTGTTTTTATAACTATGTTAGTTTTGGATGCTTGCATAATTGAAACATGACTTGATCAAATTTTATCTTTTGTTAGGGACCGGATATAATGTCTGATTTTTATTTGTACGTGTATTTTTGGTGATATTGTCAGTGATAGTTTCAGAGGAAGATAACTAGATATGGGAATATATCTAAGCACACCTAAAACAGAGAAGTTTTCCCAGGATGGTGAGAATGAGAACCTAAGATATGGGGTGTCATCCATGCAGGGGTGGCGTACATCGATGGAAGATGCTGTAAGTACCTAGTGTAGACTATGTTCTGGCTATCTAAGTTATCGTTTTTCCTCGATTATTGAAGATCATGGGTTTACTAAGATGATGGAAATACAAACTGCAAATATGGTCGATTTGGGTACTCAGATGTTATTCTGTAATTCTTTGGCAATTTAGTTAGTTTATAGTGCTGTAATTACATGCTATGTATCTCATGTGTCTTCTTTATTTGTATGACTCTCTTGCTTTCACTCTCTGTCTCTCCCTGATTACAACCTTAACTTCAGTTAGTTTATGGAACTGCATTAGCTTAGGAAACGTGAGCCATGATGTTGGTGTTTTCTTATTAGTATTGGTAGGGTGTAAACTTGATGCCTTTAATTCAGTTTCTGGAATTTATTGTTGATATAGTTTACTCAGCGTTTTGTCTGCCTTCTTGGTATGAGGTGTTCGGTAGCATGCTGCTTATCCTGATTTGGACTGTTCAACGTCTTTCTTTGGTGTTTATGATGGCCATGGAGGTAAGAGTATGAGCTTAACACACACACACACTAAATGCATGTTATGTATCTTGACTTGATAACGTTCTTGCTGCATAAACAGCATTACAGCATTTTGATGAATCTAAATCAGCTTTGTAGTTCTTTGAGAACTTTCTTTTATGAATATTATTTTTGTTGTTAGTTGACTCATCAGTCACTTTCATCTTTTGACATTAATGTTGATAATTTCAAGCTTTCTTTTTCTTTTACACTTCTTTTAAAAAAACAGACGTGTTGAATTATTGAAGCCTTTCTTTTTGTAGTGGTTGATTTCACAAAGCTCATTATAGGGTTCCAATGTTTTACGCTCTTTGCTTAAAATGATACCTGTTTGGTGCTTCTTTTCTTTTGTCTTTACATGGCAGTGTACTCTCTTCAATCTTTTGTCTTTATGATGTCATGCACCTTTTGTCTAAAACTGTTGGTAAACATTAATCCATCAATATGTGTCCTTAAAATGAAGGTTTTACAAAACTTAACATGCTGATTAAAATTTGTGTTACAATTTGAAGGATTTGTGTTATACAGAACTATGCTGTCAAGAGTTTCTTCCTCTGAGTGGAATAGATGACTTAGATTTGTAGTCATTTGAAGTGCAACAGAAAAATTAATTAATCAACAAGATAAGTATTTTCTGGTTGATTTTAATCAAGAGGAAGAGGCTACATATGGTGTAGAATTCCTGAATGCTCATGTACCTGTTAAGCTGAAGTTAAATTTTGAAAGGATGACTATCAACCAGATATATTCGAAGTATAGTAGATAGAAAAGTCTACAAGGATGTTTGAAGAGAGTGAGTTAGATATTTTGAAGTGATTACTCAGAGAGGTACCATATATATCTGCAATAGGATGTAGAATCAAGATAAGATAGCTTCAGATGGTTTGAACGTTCATGACATATCAATGAGGTCATGGAATATGAGGAGTGACTATATTAATATCATAGTATATACTTGAAACATGATAGGCACAGCACATTTAGATGTTGTTAAAAATATCTTTTGTTGCCCTGGGTTGACAGTTTCCTTGCTATAAAAGAATTAAGTGCAGAAAATTAATTAATGTCATGGATCCCAGCTGTTTAGTACAAAACCTGGGTCGATTGTTTTTAGGTAGAAGAGAAGTTCAATTAATATTTTCACCAAAGCACTGATGTATAGACTCTTATGATCTACATGGCTAGCAATAAGAATCTTGGCAAACATTTAATCTTCCTAGTTTCTTTGTGGCATTAATAGCACTTCTTGTGTGATGAATAAGCATGCTTGAAAAAGAAGTTCAATATATCGCAGCATGGTGTTTGTTAAAAGAACAAGATGTTTTTAAAGAGTTTACGAAGATTAGGGATGGAGACTTATCTTAAGAATAATAACCTCGAACTTGCTTAAGCTGACTTCATCTGGCATCACATGTCTTTACTAAGCCTTTTAGCCTGCAGGTCAGGCAGTGTCTAAGTTCTGTGCCAAGTATCTTCACCAACAAGTGGTCAAGCATGAAGCTTATTGCAGTGGTGATATTGGAACCGCTGCCCAGAAAGCTTTCCTCAGGTTACCAATTTTTTTTTATGTTGTAGATACCTTAAGCATACAAGGGGTGGTAGGACTTTGTCTTGCACCTATAGTTTGTATGGGTTTTGTCTGCTTGCGTCTCACCTATGGTTCAGTTAATTCTTGAAAGGCTTCAATAGAAGTTTATTATTTTGTTTTCTGTACCTTGTGAATGCATGTATTAAGCAACTATATTCTGTTACTGAAGAATTTGGTTATTCTTTGTTGCCAATAGTTGTTATCCATCTTGTCTATTATCAGAACATGTTTGCATCCTTATGTAGAATGGATGAGATGATGTGTGGACAACGAGGCTGGAGAGAGTTGGCCGTATTGGGAGATAAAAGAGATCAGTTCAGTGGCATGATGGAAGGATTAATTTGGTCCCCTAAGAGTGGTGAACTAAAAGGTCAAAATGATGATTGGTCTGTTGAGGAGGTACCGTCTTTGCAAACACCAAATAACTAATATGTATTTGGATTGTTCCCACTTACTCGCTGCATGCCATCTTTACTTATTTTTCTTACATCTTGACAAGACCGTTTATCTTTGCAAATCCGCTTCTGGTCATAAGTCAAGTCACATGCCTGAAACATGTTGAGTAGAATATGACCGAGAACTTTTTTTCTTCTGCTGGTTCAGAAAAGGTAGGTTTTCAGCTTTGAATGGAAATCCTATACGTGGGCAATATTTTTATCTTGTGTGCTTTTCAAGTGTTAGAAGCTCAAATCAACTTGAATGGTCCACCCATAAAACCCACAAGCTATATCCTGAAACTCTTTAATCATGGTAGATCTATTAACTGCTTTTAGTATGTTGCTACTACGGCTCATACAGTGTTTTCAATGATTCAGGGACCACATTCTAATTATGAAGGACCGGCATGTGGTAGCACGGCTTGCGTTGCAATCATACGTAATAGCCAACTTGTTGTAGCTAATTCTGGTGATTCTCGTTGTGTGATATCTCGGAAGGGTCAGGTAACATTGTTTGTATTTTGAAGTATCTGAATTCTGGAACTCAACACTGACAATTATTTTGTATAGGATAGCTCCCTTTTAGTCTATTAAAAGTTTCTACTAAGCAGACAACTGCACGGACTAGCAATATATTTATCTTGGAGATCTGTGTATGTATGTGTAGATATGTACGTATGTGTGTGTGTGTATAGATAGATATATGGGTAGAGAAGCTTGATGTAGCAGAGGACAATGACTCTAACAGGAGTTCTTGTGGACGCAAGATTAGAGTAGCAGACTAGGGGTGGGGATCTGTAGCTAGCCTAGATGTGAGGATGGGATCTGGAGAGGTAGAGGATGGGGGTAGGGTTAGTGAGCCGACAGTTAGATCTCGTGAGTCCTTAGGTTAGACTAGGGGTGTGTAGTTATTTCTACCTCGATTATGTTTTTTGTGCCTGCTTTTGTTTGTATGCTTTGTCTCTTTGATTGTTGTTGCATACCTCTGACCCGGTTTTCAAATTTTAGCCTTGCCTTTCTTGTTTTCATATTTCAAATTCTTTTCTTTTGAATGTTAATCTTATGTTCCATTTCGGTAAACTTTTGAGCAAAGGTTTATCCTTTTTGAGTTTTTTCACACTTTGGACAAGCCGAGGGTCTTCATGGAAACTACCACTCTACTCTATGCAGTAGATGAGAGGTCTGCTTACATAAAAAAGATCCCACCTCCTGGTGGGGTATACTGAGCTTGTTTGGTTTGGTTTAGAGAAGCTTGATGTAACTCCTTTTTTTCCATTGCATCCGTTTAAATCAGGTTTTACCAATTGTATGCGCTATAGTTGTAACGAAGCCTTCTATCAGTTACGTGTTCTTTCATCTTTGTCTGTTTGTAGTGTATCCTGGCATGCCTTCATATTTCTCATTTGACACGTGACTCTACTTGTTGTCTGTATTCCTACGTAAACATGCACTTATGGCATGTTTGTTAGTAGCTTAATGAGCATGACGGAATTCAAACTTATTTTGGTAGTGGCTCAGTGATATACAAAATGGCTTATTCGGTAAGTTTCTAGGGGGAGCTTTATGCAAAAAACCAAGTTTTTTTAAACCTGCCCCGTCCAATTAAAAAACATGCTTCTTTCATTTATGAAAAAGCTCTCCTGAACAAAATCCTTCTCACTTTATACAAACAGATTAATCCACACATACAGCTTTATCCATACAGAACTTAATGAAAAACCAACCAAACAACCCCTTAATCTTGTATGCAGGCATATAATTTATCAAAAGACCACAAGCCTGATCTTGAGGCTGAGAAAGAAAGGATAACAAAAGCTGGCGGTTTTATCCATTGTGGTCGAGTTAATGGGACTCTAAACTTGACCAGAGCTATTGGTACTTCTCATATGTCTGATTTTCTTCTTATATTAATTTGATATAAGAATATTTGCTTTCCTTATTGCTCTCTGTGGTTTTTCTTCATCATATGTTCAGGGGACATGGAACTGAAGAAGGATAAATCTCTGCCTCCTGAAAAGCAAATTCTGACCGCCAATCCTGATATAAACACAGTGCGTATAAGCATTTTGTTAGAAATTATTTGTTCAAGGTTGCTTGTATTCATTTAGAGAATTAAGAATTGGCAGCTTAGAGCATGATACTTGCTGATGACATGCCTCCGACTGTGCATCCATATGACATTACTTGATCTTTCTTTTCTCTCTGTCTCTCCTATTAGGTTGAGCTTTGCGAGGATGATGATTTTCTTGTTCTTGCTTGTGACGGAATATGGTAAGTTTTTCATTCATGTGTTTGGTCATCAACGATTTATTCATTGTTCTACCAAAACTTGTGCTGCTTAAAGAAGGTCCGTGAAAGGGAAGCATGTCGGGAGATAGTAGAAAATTATGGCTTAATTCACTAAATTTGTTATGAGATAAAAGGTTGAGCAGAGGGTACAGAGTAGGCAAATAGGCTCCTTGTGTGGGATATTTGGGCCTGATAGGACCTGACCTGACTTTCTAGATTGACTTTCTTAGGGTGCATTTGTAACGCGGATATATGACCAGACATGTGATGTAAACCGAAAGAAATAGGATGGAATTGCAAAGGAATCTGAATGATTAATGGGATGGTTATAGTTAGGTTTCTGGCTTTCGAGAAGCCAGGATCTCTCCACAGACTCACTTCCAAGGGTTACAACACAGAATCCCTTCTCCTAGACCGTCACACACCTATCTATGCTAGACCCATGCATTATCAACTTTTACTCTTAACGCAATAACTACTTGTACCCTGTTAGTATAAGGTAATAACAACATGACTGGACTGGCGAGAATGAGGTAGGTGGGTGAAAGAGTTGTGAAAGGTTTTAAAGTTCTAATCTGACATGAGTAGTTTTACAATTTTGTCCCACTCAATCATGTTTTGTCCCAATCTAACTGTCCCACCAAATGTGGGACAACAAAGTTTTGTTCTGTCATGACAGATGGATCTTCATGTTTCATGTTGTTGCACTTGCACCCTCTTTGAGACCGTCATCGTACTGAACTAGTGGTAATCAAATACGAGCATGATTAGCTTCTCTTGTCCTTTTATCCTGTTGCTCGTAACATTCAGTCATATCATAGAGCAACTGTAAAAGGCTAATATTTGAAATATGAACGAAAAGTTATCAACAGCCAGAATCCTTGTATGAGATTTAGAAACTTTCAAATAATCACATGCACACACTCTTGTTTTATACATTTCAAATTTCCTTGATCCAGTAGAACATGGATCCATTTTTATTTCACAAGTATCTGAAACAATCTTTACACATTAAGCCTTAATATATAGCTCTACAGGATTTATATATAATGCTTAGAATTTCATTCTTTTACAGGGATTGCATGTCGAGCCAACAACTGGTGGACTTCGTACGGGAGCAACTAAAAACTGTAACACTTCCTACTAGAATCTCGTAGATACATTTCATTCCGGACAAGAATTTATACACGAATTTCAAAACTTACATTTCTACATAACACTTTAAAAGCATTTCAACACGTAATTTCTCTAAGAAGAAGAAAACTGCATTCAACTCCAACAGTTTCAATTTCTCTATTTTGGAGATTCCTCAATGATAATAATACAACAAAAGAAAATTTCTCTTATCCTCCATTTAATTTTTTCGACAAGTTGGGGAGTCTTTTTTCCTTGAAATAATTAAAAAAAAGTCATTCTCTCTCTTCCTCCATTTAATTTTGGTTATCGAAAAAGATGGGAATCCATAACTTTTGGATAGGAAAAAGACTACTTTCAGAGCAGTCAACTAGCTAGGCCTTAAACCCCCAGCAAGCCATAGGAGTAGGCAGGTTCTCCAAATTTGTAGAATTTTTCCTCCTCTTTCCTACTTTCTCTGTTTTAGAGAAACTGTTGGAGAAAAAAAATAAAAACGAGTAAGAACTCCGTTATCTCTTTTCTTTCGATTTTGGAGTAGTTGTTGAGTTGTACATCCTACCGCCCAAACCCTACATATGTGTGGGCTACGGGGGCGGACCCACATGGATAGATATGTTCATAGTTCGGTCGTAAAGGGGAAAAAATTACGTTTCTGAAGGGTCATATAGTTTTGAAACCTAAATGTTAACACAAAACTTTAATGACTAAGATGGTAAATGCTCTTGCCTTTGCACAAAAGGCCCAGGTTCGAGTCCCATAGTGGTCAAATTTGTTGTTTTTTAAGCTTAAATTTTGGTGTTTTTTATATACCTCTGGTGCTTATATATATATATATATATACACCACACTCAATTTGGGTCTTTTCTATGTAAGAAGTAAGAACAAGGAATCAACAGCAAACTAAGCTGCTGGTTTCATGATGGTAAATCTAACGAGCCAGAACTAATACAGGAAACTAAGCTGTCAGCAGTCTGCGAGAAGGTATTCGACAGGTGTTTAGCACCGTCCTCCGGTGGTGAAGGTTGTGACAACATGACGATGATTTTGGTGCAGTTCAAAAAGTTCCCTAACTCCGATCCTTCTACTTCAGAACAGCCTTCGCCAGATCGGCAATCGGAATCATCCGACAGCAAAGAGAAAACAGGACCAAGTTAATGGTAAATTACTTTTTTATCGTTTTATATCGGTGGATTTTAGGGGACCTTGTTCATATTTTATGATATAGGCCATCCCTTGATTTTGGGTGACTTAACGGTACAGATTGCCGGCAAGAAATCCGGTATCAAGCGATCGATAACGGAATCTGGGTTGTGAAACATAATATTCTTTCACTTTGATAGGGAACAATGATGTTTGATTGTGTACAAATCTTTTTGTTCTTGTGGAAAAATGGATCTGGGATCTATGGACCAGTCGTTGGTTAGATTTGACCATTTCTCGTTAATATTTGTTGGAACGTTCATTTTTTTTCTGCAAGAGCTCTGTTGGAAAGTAATCTAATGGGGTTTCACATATTCTCACATGGTATCATTGACAAGGTCTACGACTCTAGGGATTTGACTATCGATGTCCATTTAGCATTCTTTGGAGAGGGCCCGTTGGAGTCATACGTTAGCGAGATTTTGATCATTTCTCTTTAATATATGTTGGAATGTTCATTCTCTTTTCAAGAGCTCTGTTGGAAATGCAATCTAATGAGGATTCATATATTCTCACATGATATCCGAGTCAAGGTCTATGACTCTAGGGATTTGAAATCGATGTCCGTCTAGCATTCATTGGAGATGAAGTCATACACTAACTAGATTTTGACCATTTCTCTTTAAAGAGTAATTTGATAGGGTTTCACATATTTTTCTCATGGTATCAAAGTTAAGATCTACCACTATAAGGACTTGACAATCTGTGCCCGTTTAGCCGACGTCCATTCTCTCCTTAAGAGCTCTTTAAGAGAGTAATTTGATAGGGTTTCACGTATTTTTTTCACAGTATCAGAGCCAAGATTTACCTTCGTTGGACGGGACATGTTGGAGTCAATCGTTAGTTAGACTCTGACCATTGAATTTATCTTGGAACTTTGTTTCTCTTCTTAAGAGATATTTTAAAGAGTAATTTTATGGGGTTCTTCTACATATTCCCACACTAGATACGAGTTGTATAAGCCTATTAGTATTAGTTCACCTTGCACTGACTCGTGTCTTTTTGCATTTGTTTGAGATGTGATAAAGACAAACTGAACCAGATGAACTCAACATATTATTCCACTCCGAGGTGGGGTCTGGATGGGATGTTGGCATAAATTTTTATCATAGTGAAGCCAAGTACGTTCCAATCTTTTTTGAGGTCCTGTTCCATTTGTACCAATACTATCAGTCGATTGGATAAGTAATAAAATAAAATAAGATATAAAAGTTCATAAAATATATATAATATAAATGTCGTACAACTAAAATCCTCAATCTAAATAAATAGATTAATATATACAGACAATTATATTTATAGATAACTTAATGAAAAACCAACCAAAATACCTTATTAATTTTTTATCAATGCCAAGCTTCAAATATACAAAATGGGATGTAAAATCCTTCTTGTTAATTATTATCAAGAAAATGACAAAATAACCTATTTAAAAAAAATTACGCGTTTTATAATATAAGAGCATCTCTAATAGAAGATTTTTACAAAAAATAAAGTGTAGTATCTCTAAAACTAGTGATGGCCAAAAACCGGTCCTGGGTCGGGTCGGGCCTAATCGGTCCCAAACTTTCTCATAACCGGTCCCGGTCGAAAATGGCAAGACCAGTCAAGGTACTTCATAACTGGTTATCCGCCGTTCCTGGCGTTAAAAAATAAGATTTTTTAATTTTTTTAATGATATATATTTTTAATACATTATAAAATTTACAATTTGGTCACTCAAATACACTTTAAAAATGCGTTTTAATATAATTAAATTACATTGTCTTATAGAAATACATTATAAAATTATTTGAAAATACATTTATTTATAAAATTATTTTAATTTTCGGGTCGGTCCATAGCCGGTCCTGGTCCCACGAAACTGCCAAAAACCCCAACCGGTCCCGGTTTTCGGTCCCATAACCGTTCCCGGGCCGGACGAGCCTGATTTGGCCGTTACTACGTAAAACTACCATTAAAAAATAGTTCTTATAAAAACCTCGTTTTCTTTGAACTCTTGTGCAAAAATCTTACAGAGTGTTTGGTTCAGATAAAGAAATGAAAATGAAAATGACAGAGAAAGAATTTTCATTCCCCCAACTTTAACCTGAAATGAAAATTTGGGTTTCTGGGGAATGAACTCATTATATTATATAAAAACAAACAATTTCTTTTATTTTTATTCCCATTGAGTACTCTTTAATACATATGACCAAACACCTCATTAATTCTTACCTTGAGTTTGATATAAAAATGTGACATCTTATAATTTGATTGGTTAAAAATTGTAATAATTATAAATCAATAAAACTGTGTATCATTTCACTGTTTTTCTCATATAAAGCATGCTGTTTTCTCCTGAGACCAAAAAAAAGTTGGTTATTCCTCCTAACCATTTTCTCTTCAAGTTTGTCAAAATAGTTATAGGTCCACAAAAACTTATGCTCGTAAGTGCGGATCCAAGTAAACAACGTTTTTTTTACACTTTCTACCCATGTCCACAAAAAAAGTTACATTTTTCATCCAGATCTGCAAAAAAAAAATTACATTTCTCACCCAGACCCGCAAAAAAAACTTTACATTTTAACTCAGGTCCGCAAAAAAAATTCAAAATTGTGGATCTAGGGTTGTTTTGGTAAACCTTGTAAAGAAATGGGTAAGAGGTGAAACCAACCGGTCAAAATGACTATTTTAATTAATTTTCTTTTTTATTAATAAATATTACAAAATAATTGTTGATAATTTATTCTCCGTAATCCCCTTTCATGTTGATAATTTTTCATATTACACTTACGACAAAAAAATTGGCAATCATCAGTGTTCCCATTATCATTTAAACAGATAAATCTCCATCTATTAGGAATGGGTCCTTTTGGGTCCGCATCATCACATATCAAACGTCCATCTCGACATACGACTCAAAGTTTCAATTCGACCATTATTACAACAAAATAAAGACGACAAATGATCACGTTGCCTTCCTTAAGTCTCAATTCAGTGAAAATTTCTCATTGGACCACCATCGACTAAAAATTGAATTGACAGATATTTCAACTATGACAGATAAATTTTATAAATTTGCTCTGAAATCTGTCTTTTGCATAACTTCCAAAAGAAAGCCCCATCTAATTCAGTTATTTAAGAGCATCTCCAACAATTATTCTATAATTTTTCTATAGGCAAATTGCATGAAAAAGTAGCGTACTTTAACTTGATTTATATTTTGTGTAACGTACATTCAAAACTTTCATTTTGGTACGTAAGATGTAAAACTTTAAGCATTTAAGTATTTGGGTAACTGATTGAAACATTAACCGGTTACTATACTAATGTGGCGAGTGATTTGACTTACCTTTTGAATTTAAAATTCAATAAAATTTATACTGAGTTTGATACCACATCACTTGTCATATCAACATGGTAACCGGTTAATGCTTCAATCTATTAGTCGGGTAGGCGGGTACTTAAATGTTTAAAACTTACATCTTAGGTACCAAAATGGACGTTTTGAAAGTACGTTACCCAAAATATTAATCAAGTTAGAGTCCGTTAATTTTTCATGCAATTTGCCTATTTTTCTATAACAAAGTATGAAAAGTCAAAATTCATAAAAAATTACATTTAACTCCAACAGCTACTCTATTTTAACAATTATAATATAAACTACATTAATAAAATATTCAATACAGTTAAGAAAATATTATTTTTCTTTCCTACATATTTAATTTCAAGACTGTTATTGAAGGAAAATAATTTAAATATTATTTTTCTATCTTTTATATTTCTCCAAATTTGGATATTCTTTTTTATCCATAATTGTTTTTTTACCTCTTAATAGTTTAATTAAGAGGCAGTATCCGAATCGTTAATAGGTGAATTTTGTTCGGCAAAAAAAAGTCTATCTCTTAATATTTTTAAAACCCTCTGAATGATTTTGTATCCTGAACTTCCTTAAATAACAATTTTACCATTAATAGTACATAAAGTAATGAATTTCATCATCTCATAATTAATGTTAGCATAAAAAAACATATACTTATATTTGAAGGATAAATTACATGAAAAAATAACGTACTTTAACTTGATTTTTATTTTGGGTAACATACTTTTAAAACTTCAATTTTGGTAACTAAGATGTAAAATTTTAAACATTTAAGTATCACGGTAACCGGTTGAAGTATTAACCGGTTATCATGCTGAAGTGGCGAGTGACGTGGTATCCAATTCAATATTATTTGCTAACGTAGTCAATGACATGAATTTTTTATCTAAAAATAAATTTTTTTTTAAATTTAAAATTAGTCTTCAACTGGTTATCCGGATGCTTAAATGTTTAAAACTTTACATCTTTTATACCAACATAAAAGTTTTGAAAATACGTTACCCAACATAAGAATCAAGTTAAAGTACGTTATTTTTTCATGCAATTTGTCTACATTTAAATACAAAAACTTGTTTTAGTAATAAATTAAATTAGTAATTTACATTTTAGGATACGTTAAGTAAAATATTTAATTTTGTGAGTGTGTTTACATCCTGTTTTCCCGCCAAATAATCGATTTTGAAAAGCAAGACGATTTTAGTAATATTTTAAAAAAAATCCAATATTTAAATTAAAATCCAAGTAAATTTATTAGAATGAGTTTGATTTGCAGGAATGTTTTTGAGGGATTTGGATTCCCATGAGAGATTTGGATTCCATGAGATTTGGATTGGATTGGATTTAAAATCCATTCATGTGTTTGGTTTCCAAGATTTTGATTGGATTTGAAATCCATTCCTGTGTTTGGTTTGTAGGATTTGGATTGAATTTTTTTTGTAATTATTTTAATCACCAAATCTCTTTCATTTTCCTAAACCTATCTATTTAACCAACAAACTTAAAAATTTAACAACCAAACATTTTCATCAAAAAAGCATATTTAATCAACAAATCTCTATAATTTTTTGAAAATAAATTATTTAAAATAGAATTTTTTAAAAACTTTAATTTTTAACAGATTCTTTATTTCAGATATTTTAGTATTTATTATATTATTAAAATACTATAATAATTTATTATTTTAATACACTTTTTAATTTTTTAATTATAAAATAATAATGATTTACTTTCGTTGATGAGAAGAATACAAAATAAATTTCTCTCTTCACACATCAGTTTTAAAGAATTTTCTAAATTTACAGTTTTTTCTAATTTTCTATATTTTAGAAAACAATATAAAATTTTTATCAGAACAAAAACCATACTTTTTTTTTCCTTAAGAAAAGTTAAAAAAAAAAGGAAACGAAATATTTCATTTGAATGATTAAGTACTTGAACCTTTTTTTTAAACAAACACACCATTAAAATTTTTCATTATTAATGATTAAGTTTTAAAAACTATTTTTTTAATTAAAAAAACCAATAAACTTTCTTATTTTAAATGATTAAGTCTCTAAACATTTTTTTTAATAAAATAAACCATCAAACTTTTAAAAATTGGTTACTTAAGAAAATTTAATGATTTTTTATTAAAAAATAATTTAAAAATGTACTCATTCAAAATAAAATAGTTTTTTGAATTTTTTCTTTCAATTTTTTTAATTTTAAAGAATATATTGAAAATAGCTCTGAAAATATTATTTATTACTATTTAAATATTAATTAAAATGTTTTTAGAATAATAGCATATAGCATCTTTGTTTAATAGAATAAAAATAGTAACTAAAATTACCCAATCAGAAATTGACACGTCATCCTCAGGACATCTCTGATCTGAACCATGGCCCAAACGGCCCATATCTCTTTCTCTCTATGCCTCTACTCTGTCTGTATATACACCATTGAAACAATTCGTTGTCTTCTTCGTTGTTGACCATTTCTGCACTCAACGATCAACTCCTTTCACACTCAACTTCTTAATGTCCATGGCGACTTTCAACTCTCGGTAAGTTTGATTGCTATTTCATGGTTTCTCACACTTATTTTCACACACAAACTTTATGTATATATGATATGTATATATGTATGTGTGTGTATGTATGTATATGTTCCAATAGGCAGAGGCTGATTTTTGTATCTTGCAGCGCGAAATTTGAGTTGATTTGAATTTTGAAGTTAGATTGTGAAGATATATAAAGTGATAATGGCGACTATAGCTGGAGTTATCAGTGGTTGCGTTTCATCTTCGAGTTCATCTTCATCATCGTTTGGAAAACTGAAAAATTGTCGCAAGAAGAAAACGACGATGATCAGCGGTGGTGCTGGTAAGAGGTTTCGAATTAGTTGTGATTTCTCGAATTCTATTGCTTCAGATCCATACAAAACACTGAGGATTCATCCTGGAGCTTCTGAATCTGAGGTCAAAAAAGCTTTCAGACAGCTTGCTTTGAAGGTACGTTTTCTACTAATGAATCTAGCACATTACGATTATTAGATCTGCTAATTTTTATTGAAGAACGTAATCTGATCCATTTGGATAATTGAATGCTTTCTTAATTCAACAAATGCTAATTTGAGTTCATTAATAGTATTAATTAGAACAATATTATCATCACTCCAAGGATTCATTCTGGATTTACAGTCAATTAGATAGTTGGAGCAGATTATTTGTTTAGTTTTTGGATCATTTTCAGTAATCCAAATGATGAATTAAGATCATATCTCTGTTTGTTTTTGATCAAATTTCATATTCAGTATCATCCAGACGTATGCAAAGGAAGCGATTGTGGAGTCCAGTTTCATCAAATTAATGAAGCTTATGATGTAAGTATTCCCCTTATTTTGATTCTGTTGAATAATATCGATTTCAGGGACGGAATCTGAATTTTTTTTAAATTGTGGCACCATTTGATTACAAGAAAAAAATATTGGGGGAAAAATTTCAAAAAAAAGTAAACATCATCTGATTAAGAAAATGACATTAACAAGATTCAAACTTGAGTCTGAGATGGAATAAAAGCCTTGTAAACCAACTCTATCAAATAAAACTTGTTTTTATTGTAGTTTCAAAATATACAAGGTGGTACAAAACAAATAAAAAAAATAGTTTTTTTTAGAAAGATACTCAAAATAAAAACATTATATTCTTTAAGAAATGATTTTAGGTTCGTGAAATATGCAATTTAATTAATTTGTTGTGTCATCGTATGTATTTTAAAACTACAATAAGAATAAATTTTATTTGATAGAGTTGGTTTCCAAAGCTTTTATTTCATTCCAGACCCAAGTTTGAATCTTGTTAGTGTCATTTTTTTAATCAGATGGTGTTACCGTTTGAAAAAAGTTTCGTATATATGTTTCTTATAGTCAAACGGTGTTATATGAAAATTTTCCCTATATTTTTTTCTTTTAGTCAAATGGTACCATTGTTTAAAAAAATTTCTAGGTCCATTCTATCTTACTACCTTATCTCCTTTAATTTATCGTATAAGAACTTTAGTTTTAAATGTATATTTTATTGATTTTACAATAATTATTGATGTTAAAAAAAATTAGAGCCACAAAAATGAGGTTTTTAATTTGATGAGCTTCATGTTAGATAACAACAAAAAGTGCAAAAATGAGGTTGTTGTAACAACTTAAATCGGAAATCCTTTAAATTAATTTTTCATGCATCAACATTAAAATGTCTTTTTCATTTTTAATTTATAATTTGACCTGATTTTGATATATGTCTATTTTAAAAAAACCAGTCAAATCAAAGCGTTTTCAATTTATTATCTGATTATAGTAAGACCCTAATATGCGTTTTGCATCCAATTGGATGGTATGGTTTAAAAGTATTTTATGTTGAGTGAATTATTAAATCTAGTGGGAAACGTTTCATTATATGGTAAAAATTTGTGTATTTTTTTGTTTTTAGTAATACTTCTTTGTGGTATTTTGTATTTAATTATATTTTTAGTATGCTCTCGAAATGCACAAAAAATAAAATTAATTTATTACTTCCCAATTGCAAAGTAAATATTTATACAAGGTTTATTTTTTCATTCTATCTTTAGAGGGTGAAATTTTTCACAATTTTAAAAAGAATGAACTAAATGCACTCCTGTAAATGTTGGGAAATGTTTTTCCACCAAGGGATGGTAAATTGTCCGATCATATGGAAAACCCAATTCACCCGACCCAAACAGGGACGTGGATTCTCCGTTAAAATGGGTCTTTGAGCTGGGGGTTGTTACTCAAACCAGGTTGAGTAACAGGTCGGGGATTTCTGGTAAGCTCAAACTAACGAAAATTCTTCATGGGGTTTCGTACCTGTCGGGGACCAGGCCAGAGGCTGTTACTGAAAACCGGGGCCGGGGATTATAAAACTCTCCCCATCCTCACCCCGTTACCATGCCTACTTTCGCCTACTAAAATGATTCGACATGATTCTTACATAAAATAAGATGTATATAACATCATCCTTTTAAAGCTGTGTTTTGTAGAATGATGAAACCCCATTTTATATTAGAATCAGGTCAAATCATGAATTGAGAATGTAAGGGTGGTGCATGATTGATATGAATTTTGCTCTAAAGGTCAAAAATACCAGAAGATCACAAGTTCAAATTCAAGGAGGAATAAAAATCTTCTTATGGCCATGGAGGTTCAAATGCGGTGACTCCGGGCTATCTGTAAAACAGGTGGTCGTCTTGTGATTGGTCGGCTTGCATAGCGAGTTGGATATCCAGGTTAATAAAAAACGAGTTTTGACGAGTGTGAAAAGAAAATTAATAGATATAAATCTAATCTAGCCTATTTATTTTTATATAAATTCATTTTAAAACGAATGATTTTGATGTTTCAATTGATTCGAGGATAGGAGTTGTCTTAAATAAGACGCAAATAAGCATTTGATTTTGATGGAAATGTTTGTTTTTTAAAATAGAGATTGTGGTTTGATGTGTTTACAATTACATACAAACAGATGGTAATGAGCAATTTGAGGTGTGAAAGAAAAGAAGCAGAAAGAGAAGATGAACCGTTGGATGAAAACACGAGAGGAATGGAGGATCCAGATTGGGACATGTGGGAAGAATGGATGGGTTGGGAAGGAGCAGGTATTCGCGATTATTCTTCTCACATTAACCCTTACATCTAAACCCCCTTTCTTTCACCATCAATCACCATCTTTCTTAATTGTAACCTTTATATTTAAATTCTTACATATAATTATCTCAAAATTAAATTAAATCATATATTAAAAATACAAAAATCAAGTTTTTATATTAATCTATGTAAAAAAGAACATTAATAGATAGATTGAGATCACGTGAGACTAGCCTGTTTTCGTTAGATCTGTGAGACCATCGTAAAACTTTACAGCAAAATGCTGTGAAGGTAACTTTTACAGAGTTTTTGCTGTGAAGTTTCGGTTTTTTTTACTTTTACAGCGTTTTGCTATGAAGTTTCAAGTATAAAAAAATGGTCTTATAGATCTCACGAAAACAAATTGGTTATGAACCCAATAACTACATTTAACAAGTAATAGATGTGTATTTAATCCATCTAAAACCGTTGATGAGATTGGTGTCTTTTTGTATATAAACACTTTTATTGTTTTTATTTAGTATCAAACAAATTTGTATACATCTTATATTTTATAGTACTTTATTCTTGAATGGTTAGCTTTATTTTTCTTTATTTATATTATAGATATTTATATGAGATTATATATTAAAAATATAAAAATCAAACCTTTATGTGAATATATGTAAAAAAAATTAATAAATGGTTATGTATTTAGCAAGTAAAGGACTCTTGTTTGATATTTGTTGAATTATTTGATTTAAAATAATTAAAAGGCTCTCATAATATAATGTAAAATGAAATATAATTGTTTAATAATTGTTTATAATTAAATTAAGATGTTAAATGGTTAAGAAATACTTGGGATACAAAATTATTCGGAGTATTTTGGAACTATTAAGAAGCAAACCCTTTTTTGCCAAACTAGATTCATTCTTATAACGATTTAGAAATTGTCTCTTAATGAAACTATTATAAGGTAAACAAACAATTTCTAAGAGCATCTTCAATAAATTCTCCAAAACAGAGGTTTTGGATAATTTTTTGCTCCAATAATTAATAGACTACCAAAACCTATTTATCATGTAATGTAAGTTCACTTTTATCTAAATATTTTGAAACTAATAACATTTGGATAAACTTAAAAGAGAAATGAGTAAAAGATCAATTTAAAAATGAAAAATACTCATCTAAAGAGTTGTTTATCCAACATTTATCCGATAAACACTTTCTGCTAAGAGTTAAAATTTTCACTTAACTTACCTGATAAAATTTTAGTTCATTAAAATGGCATTGTATGCAAATATTTTTATCCGGTAAACGTTTATCGGTAAAAGTCGTCGCTTTCACTTATTTGGAATAAGACTCCCGATCCTTATCATGACTATTACCAGATAAGATGTCAATCTTTATCATGTTCATAAAATGATCCACCAAACACTTACCACGTAAACGTTTAGTAAACAGTACCAAAATTGATTTTCTTCTTAAAGAAATGATGCATGACGTATCTTTTCCACCACCCAATGCATCATTGTTCTCAAATCACGATAATTGATGTAGGAGTGGGACTCGCCTCAAGAAAAATTAAGAAAGGAAGAGTAACATTTTCGCTAATATTTTAATAATTTTTTTATTTATGATTTGTTTTTTTAATGTTTAAAAAAAACATTACGATGTTGAGAAAGTTGATTGTGGTTTACAACTTGTTTACAAGGGTAAATAGCAAGTTATCAAGATATGAATATGGTTGCATTTAGAGGTTATTATTGGTTGGATTGATCGGGTTGAAAACATTTGAATAACTTAATTCAATGTTTACGGTTTAATTTTTTTTTAACCCAAGTCAACATAAACCAAACTGCAACCCAACCCAAACCGTACGGGGTTAGTAAGACTTGATACTTTGGTACATTAAAATATTTTTCTAATATTGAATATGTTATTTCTCTACTAATAATTTCTTTTTCATCATCAGTCATTTGATACAACATATCCATATTTCTTACATATATCAGATTCAGTTAATTTTCTCGATTTACATAATACATGTTCACAATTACTGAACATATATACAAAGGAGTTATATAGAGATGTGAATAGATTGAAAATATGTGTATATGAAGAGCGTACGTGATAGTGTAATTGTATAATATATACATTAATAAAAATTCAACAATCATATTAAATCCATGAAATAAAAGGATATTAGGTTGGGTTGGGTTCAAATAATAGTAACCCAATATCAACTCAAAACTTAAGGTTTGAAAATTTTACAACTCGATTAGACATCAGATTACTTCAGATTGAATTATTTCATATTGAGTTTGATTGGATTGGTCGGATTTTAAGCACTTCTAGTTGCATTCATAGTAGTAGTGATCATAAGAATGCCAATTATCACCATAAGTGGGATAATGGTGAAAGAAACAATAAATAAATGAACCATGGAATTCAAAAATCAGATGTCATTACCAACGCAATATTGAATGACATCGTTTACATTCTTCTCAGATATCAGAACATTTTATTGTACTTTACTCGGTATCGCATACTAACAAAAGAAAGAATACTAAATCGTAGCCATGGGAATTGGTCCCGACCCGTTGGGGAACCCAATCCATCCCGATCAGGGACGGGGATGGGGATGGAGATCTCCATTTGTCTCAAAGCGGGGATGGGGATCTGGACGGGTATCGCACTCTTTGCCCTGCCGCATACCCGTTATATATATTTATTAAAATATTAAATATATATTATTTATTTTAACTAAATATGTAACTCATAATGTTTTATTTCCTAACTAAATGCAAAATCTAAAATTGTTATTTTTTTAGATGTTGGTTATATAATATTTTTTATATCAAGTAAAAATACAACTACTCGATATGATTTTGGATATTACACGATACGTTTTTGTATGTGTGACGTTAAGTTTTTTTGTTTGTATTAAATTGAATTTCTTTTGGTTCCGTTATTAATTATTATATGATGTTGTATTTTTTGTATTTAATTAAATATTTTTCGATTTTAAGTTTATTGGAAACATGTGGGATTTAAACACGCGTGGTGTGTAAATATTTGATTTAAAATAGCTTACATAAAAGGAAAAGAAAATCATCGTTTCCCCGTTGAGGATCCCCATTCCCCCGTTAGGAATATGAACGCGATTATGTTATTTACTGGAATAATTTGACTGATTCACACTCCATGTTCTGAGAAATATTTACCGTCTGAAAAGAGGAAAAAATGGAGTCTCTGAAAAGGAGGTGATCCAGCCGCACCTTCCAGTACGACTACCTTGTTACGACTTCACTCCAGTCACTAGCCCTGCCTTCGGCATCCCCATACACTGATAAGGGATGTATGGATTCTCGAGAAAGGATTTCTAATCATCTTGTTATCCTATAATGAGAACGAACGGGGATGTGATCATATTACCCGATTGAGACGGGGACGAAGATGAGGGATCGGGAACGGGGATGGAAATTGAGGTCCCCGCTCCATTCTCATGCCTACCAAATCAAATCTTGCATTTCATGGTTAATACAGTGTAGTACATGCAGGTTAATACAATTGAGATACATGCTACAAAAATCGGATGGTTACTAACAGTAAAGATTTATAGTATGACATAATCAATTGATACACATTCCAGATCAATTATATGTTGTGACGGTTATAGAGATCACATGAGCATCCTTCAAAAACTAAAAAATTCCATCGAACGAACTCTCGTTTATTACCTGTTCAATAAATTAATCTGTCAGATCTTTCTCAATGTGATTCCGAAGCAAATCAATGTGAATTTGGGTACGAATAAATGTGGGCCTACGCATCAAATGCATGGACCATTCAAATATTCGATTGTGTTGATAAATGCGACAACTAAACGATCACACGTGTCTTTGTTTTTGTCTTGCAACCTCACGTTTGAGTGAGCGACTGATCAATAATTATTTAGGGTGTGAGTTTTAGATCACGCGTTATATTCAATCATTTTAGAAATACTGATATTTTGTTTTAACTGATCAAAATCAGAGGATGTGTTCAAGATTTAAAAAAAAAAATGGGTATTTTCTGATATATATTAGAAAATTTGACTTTTGTGATAAAATAATTTCAAATATATCTATACTATATTATAAAGTATTTGACGAAAATTTTTAAAACCCATTTTTTATGTACGAAATACTGTTTATTGATGCATATTACCAAAATTCAAGATTACAACTAAGTTGTGCCGAAGTACAACTTATTAAAGCTATATATTTGAATTTGTGTAACTAACTGCATATAAACATAATCAAATAAATAATAAATATCTTATTTTAAATATAAAAAATCTAAAATATAATTAGGATAATCATTGAGTTTTAACAAAAACACTTAATTATTATATTTATGAAAAATTATATTATTAAACCTAAATTAAATTACTTCGACGGATGAGTGTGGTTTGCACAGTTATACAAATATGAATGGTTTGCATTTGATCGCTCATCTCTCTATATATCTTATATATATATATATATATATTATACAATACATATTCGTTTGAGATCTTTGTAATTTGTGAGATCCGTGACTTATGAAAATTAACTTCTGTTGAAGAGATGGACCAATTCCGAGTGTTTTTGCAAACCATAGTGGTTAAATTACAATTTATAAACGATAGTGACAAAAACCGTTGAAAACAAAAAAGTACAAGGACCAAAAATGTAATTTACTCGCATCGAAACACAAAAACGATGGGTAGAATCGTTGGTACGACACCGTTTTAGTAAACTCCACCTGCACCTGACGCAATCTCGCATGATATGATTGGGAAAAAATCATGGGTGGGCAATCTACTTGGTTATGGTTCGAAGTACTTCACGCTCCTGATTCACTGGTTTGTAGATTGCACTCATGGATTTCTTCAGCCTATAGATACATCAAGTCTGTATGTATATATATAGGCGGCAGTACTCATCTTTCAGGACCTCTGTTCATGTCATTGATTGTTGCTTCGCCTCCAAGATAAGAAAATTGCATTTAATACAACACATGCATCTGTAAGTCCAGACTGATGTTTTCTGTACACATGTATATGTATCTATACGTGTCTTTACGTGTTTTTTCTGTCAATTAATCGTTTGATTCCGGTACTCTATTTGCTCCTTTTGTTTTTTAGGTTGTTTAATCATGGAGAAGTGTTGTGATCGGGGTTTTTGTCAATTGAGAAATTGAAACCCTAATTTATTAGTTCTGGTTGGGGTGGAAGTGGGTGACGTCTGTCTTCTTTCGTTTTTCTGAAATTGACTTCCTTTTGGTTCGTGTTTTTGTGATTCGTTGTTCTTAATTCTCAATATGAGTTGATTTTTGTTTGTCTTATTGGGTGGATTTGAAATTATGATTTGGGTAATTTTGTAAGCTTAGATGATGGAAGATGGTATTCGAAAAGAAGGTGGGCTGATTCAAAATTGAACATATGGAGAACTGTTTATTGCAATCGTAATCTTCTTACATCTATTTTTGGAGTTTCCGTTTGTGAATGTTGCTTAAAATCTCATAATTTATTATTTGCATTTGGATCTTAGATATATTTTGGGGAAGCTTGAGTGGTGACATGGGTATGTGAGGGAGATTAAGGTGACCTAAAAAATGAAAAATTGAGGATCACCCTTGTAACCATTCGTCTGGAAGGTACAAGTAACTGAAGTTTTTTGGTTTTTATGCACGTGTGCATAACGGACAAATTGCTTAGACATTACTTGTATGTATATGTGCATACCGTCTAGATGAACGGTTATCAGGGTGTTTCTCACTTTTTCATCTTTTTGCGGTTTTCCCCCTGAACCAGACCCATAAGTATGTCAATACAAATATAGGTACATCTTGTGGCAATCATTAGGAAAATGTTGGTGAGACATGAATTTCAAATTGGGCCAACATTGCCATATTTGTTATGTCATGACTAGATATTTTCTCAATACTGCTGAGAGTATACCACTTTATTTGGGATTGTATTGTGTTTTTTGTTTCTTGGCTTGTTATGGAAGAGTTGACATTAAGAATTCTATTTGCTGCATAGTGTTCAGAAAATTCACATGTGAATGTACCTCAATTCGTATTTGACACCATGGGCAAGTGTTCAAACTGATATTGTTAAGTTCTGTAATAAAGACAAAATCGGAAAAAATAAACTTTGCAGGTTGAAGTTACTAATTGTTTTCATTTGAAGCAGGTTGTCCTAATTGATGCTTACTGCCTTATTGGCTACGTTTTGTGCACCGTTCAAAGAAAATAAATGTTTACCGGGCATCAATGATTTAGGGGCCGTTTGGTTGATTTTCCATTAAGTCCAGTATGGATAAAGATGTTTGTATGTATTAAAATGTCTGTATCAATGATGTTTGTATGTATTAAAATGTCTGTATAAAACTCCCTTAGAAGCTAACTCAGTATCATTAAGCCACTACCAAACAGTCATATATAGCTGACCGAATAAGCTGTAGTCACATTAAGCTCATTAGCATCTAGCAAACATTTGTCTATTTGCATTTTCCTTGGATAGATTTGGTCCTTATGCTTTACATGCATATTTCTACAGTTAAATCTCTCTGATGGCAGACCTAAAAGAACGCCTGCTCCCACCAAAACCAGCCTCAGCTATAAACCTTAGAGATGCATCCTTTCGGCCGTCTGCATCTGGTCGCCAGCCTTTTCAAGGGGGGGTAGATGTTCTAGGCCTCAAAAAACGTGGCCAAGGTCTTCGTTCATGGATTCGTGTTGATGCTGCTACCGGGGATTCCCAAGTTATTGAGGTCGACAAATTCACTATAATGCGGCGTTGTGATCTACCCGCCCGTGATCTTCGCCTACTCGATCCATTGTTTGTCTACCCATCAACAATTCTGGGAAGAGAGAAGGCCATTGTTGTAAATCTGGAGCAGATTCGGTGTATTATAACAGCTGATGAAGTTCTGCTTTTGAATTCTCTTGATAGCTATGTGCTACAATATGTGGTGGAGCTACAACGACGATTGAGAGTTGCAGGGGTTGGTGATGTTTGGCAGTCAGAAGGCCCGGAATTGAACAGACGGATAGGGAATCGAAACTTTGGTGATATGTATGGAACCACATCACCGGACTACTTGCCCTTTGAGTTCAGGGCCTTAGAAGTTGCTCTCGAGGCTGCTTGTACATTTTTGGATGCTCAGGTTCGTCTTATAACCAACTATTCTTACAATTTGTAAGCATTGCATTGGTGTTTTTACGTATAATCTTTTCACCATTACATAATTTGTTTCCTTAAAAAAATAGGTTTGACAGTGTTATATATATACATATATATATTTGCAAAAGAATCCTAGTATAATGCTTCTCATAAGCTGTATTAGCATGTAGTAGTTGTTTAGCACGTTTCAGGCAAGAAGATATATATGAAACAATAAGATTTCAATTACTTGGATTTTGGTCTCGATTCACATTAGCCATAAATGACAATTAATGGGTTTGATCTTATTCAAGATAACATAGAGGTTTTGAGTTTGATCCCATGCTTGGTTTGTTGGTGGATTAACAAGTGACAAATATTTTCACCCAACGGTTTGCTCACCTTAGGATGAGATTTCCAGGGTCCTAAAACATTGAACATTTTGATTGGTTGTTTCCTGATAGAGTTGTATAGAAATTGGATTATCTTATCTTAGAGATTAATGTAACTTACTAGATTCTAAGATCTCCATTGGAAAGGCCTGTATATATTGAGGGAGGTTCGGGGGGGAACCCCAAAAAAATGAAAAACTGAGGAACACCTTGGTAACCATTCATTCGGACGGTATGCACATGTGCATACAAGCAACTGGAGTTGTTTATTGGTTTTTTATACATATGTGCATGTTATGCACATGTGCATACCGGACAAGTTGCTTACAAATTACTTGTATGCACATGTGCATACCGTTCAGATGAATGGTTTTGAGGGTGTTCCTCAGTTTTCCATTTTTTTGCGGTTTTATCCTGACCCTAACCCTATTATATCATGTGTTTCTGTAGACCATTCTTTCAAAATCAATGAAAGAATGGTATGAATGAGATCCTTGCCTGCAAATTTATTCTACTTCTTCTATAAGGTTATATAGCCTTAAAAGATTGATGTTTGAGCAGACTTGTGTGATTTTCTGGGTCGGATTGTGATTAGTTTTCCAAATGCACACACCGTTTTTCATGTCTTTATGTTGGGATGTAATAGTTTTTGGAAGTTATTTCTTTGCCATCTAGATCTATGGTAATAATCTTGTCTGAAGGTGTCTGTCCGTCTTATAATCTGTATAGATTAGGAAGGTTTTTATTTCAGAGGGTTTTTTCATAGATGGAACGAGTCTGTTTTTTAATTGGTGGGGGGGGGGGGTTGGAAAAAAACTTGGCTTTCTGCATAAAGCTCTCCCCTAGAAGCTTGCTAGTTATGTATAGCTGATTGAATAAGCTAAATCCCACTAAGCTCATTAAGCTGCTAACAACAGGCCCCAAGACTCTTTGTATCATGTGCCTTATGCGGTCAATATGTACCATATCACATTGCATAATTGAAATATGCTTCAATATTTAGTAGCTTTATGTTAAAATAATTCTAGATTCGAAATTAAAAATGTATTGATCAAATTTTTACAAGAAAAATCTTTTTTCTGAATTCATCAGGCAGCGGAATTAGAAATTGAAGCATATCCATTGCTAGATGAACTTACATCAAAGATTAGTACTTTAAATTTGGAACGTGTTCGTAGACTGAAAAGCAGACTTGTTGCATTGACTCGAAGGGTACAGAAGGTACCATATATAGTCTCTGTCTCCGTTTTCTTTTAGGGAAAAATGCATTAAATGTAATAAAGTTTGGTTTAGTTCTTATATAGTGTAACAAAGATTTTTTTCCCTAGATCGATGTAGCAAAGTTTTAAAATTTTCTATTTTATATCCATTTTTTTTTTATCGGTAACCTGCTGATCTTGTAACATTTGATGACGTGCATCCCCATTTGCGAAATAGTCACGAAAAGGGTTACGATGAAGTGGGCGATAAATTTGCCATCCGAGCCATCAAATGTTACAAGATTAGGAGGTTACCGGTCAAAATGGGAAAAAGATAGAAATTTTGAAACTTTGTTACATTAAATAGGAAGTTGGGAAATTAATAGAAATAGCCATCTTCAGGGACCAAGTTTATCTCTTAGCCATTTCTCTCCGGAAATTTCTAAAATATCACTCCCTCTGCAAGTTGAGGAGGTGCCACTCGCGGAGGTAGTGATATTTTGGAAATCTTCGGAGAAAAATGGCTAAGAGACAAATTTGGTCCCTGAAAATGGCTGTTTTCCTTGATTTCCCTAGGAAATAGAAGACTTCATTATGTTAATTGAGAAAAAAGTCTTTGTTACACTAAATAAGGATTAAGGCAAACTTCGTTACATTTTGACGCATTTAGCCCTTTCTTTTACTTGTAGATATTCACTAGACCTCTGATTTGTCGTTATTTTGACGATCGCTTGCATAACAGGTAAGAGATGAAATTGAGCAGCTGATGGATGATGACGGAGATATGGCAGAAATGTACCTGACCGAGAAGAAAAGGCGAATGGATTCGTTGTTCTTTGGTGCTGAACAATCTCTGATCGGATACAGATCAAACGACGGTACACAATCTATCTCCGCTCCTGTTTCTCCAGTTTCTTCACCTCCAGAAAGTCGAAGACTCGAAAAAACTTTGAGTATTGCAAGGAGTAGGCATGATAGCATGAGGAGTTCGGAAAGTGCTACGGAAAACATCGAAGAACTCGAGATGTTGCTGGAGGCTTATTTCGTTGTCATTGATAGCACTCTGAATAAGTTGACATCGGTACTTGGTTTACTCCAAAATAATCAATTTTCTTCGGTTTCCGTCGCCTTTGTTCATTGGTTTGGTTTCAAGTTTGTTAACGACTTCCTTTTTTGTTGTACCAGCTGAAGGAATATATCGATGACACTGAAGACTTCATCAACATCCAACTGGTACGTTTCTGTTCTTTATGCGCTAAAAACTATAAAAACCAAACCAAATGATCATAGTAATCCCACACAGAGTAAGGACTTGTTTGTTAGCAGCTTAATGAGCTTAATGGGACTCACAACTTATTCGGTTAGCTATAGATGACTGTTTGGTAAGGGGCTTAATGATATAGAAAGTGGCTTATTCACTAAGCTTCTAGGGGGAAGCTTTATGCAGAAAGCCAAGTTTTTTTTTTCCAAACCTGTCCATCCCAATTAAAAATAACATTCCATCTATGAAGAAACCCTCCCAAACAAAAACCTTCCCAACAGGGGCGGATCTAGCCCTTAAGGACCGGGGCAAAGTCCCCAGTCAAAGACCAAAAGCGTTTGTTGACTAGCTTAAATTTTATATTTTTACTCTCGTTTTACATGGTTTCCCCCAGTCCCATATGGCCATATGCTTGCCTCCCCCAAGTCCTATCCAACGTGCCCCCACCCCATTAATTTCCTGGATCTGCCACTGCTTCCCAATCTATATAGATAGATTAATCCACACAGACAGCTTTATCTATACACGACTTGATGAAAACCAACTAGAGAGGCTATTCCGTGAAGACCCCTGGCTTGTTAAGAGGTTTTGAGAAAAAAAATTGCGTAAAAGATTTGGGTCTGCAAGATATACGAAAGTGTGAAAGAGAAAAGATAAATAAATAGATGAACGAAAAGACGCAAGGAAGAGTTGAAAACGGCACACCGGAAGGTATGCAACCACTAAACTAACTAAAGATGAAGAGACGGTAAAAAAAAGAAAACATGTAAGTGAACGAGAGCGTTGTGTCACACGTAAATCCCCCTCCCCATCTTAGGTCTCTTTCGTAAGGCTCTAGGACCTAGTTGTCGACACTCATACCCTCCTCCAAACCACCTCTCTATCTCTCCACCCTATCCTGTCCCCATTAGCCGCAAGACCGAAAGTCCCCATGGCGGACCCAACATTTTTGTTAAGCGGGTGCATCTTTTAAAGTTTTTTGGTTGATTTCATGGGACTCTTTCAGTTTTTTGGCGGATATTCCTTGTATTTTCTAGTATCATGGAGCATCCCTCAAAGTTTAATGTGCAGACCTTTCATACCTCCAAAAAGAATCCTACTTGCAAAAATTGGTTCAGTGGGTCCACGGGACCCTGTGGGGCGTTCGCAGGTCTGGCCCTGGCAAGTCCTTCCACACAATATGCTATTTTTAGTCTTGCTTCTCCACGAACTCCTAGGACTTCATGCCTTCAGAAATGTCTAAAGTCGTGGTGTCCAATCTCAGTTGCTTATCCAACGTTCCTCCTCACCCCTTGATCCATGATGCTCTCCACCTTTCTCACTGGTGCATACAAGGGCGGACCTATGTATGTCCGAGCGGGCTCCCATACACCCGGTCAACTTATTTCTGCAAGTAGGATTTTTTTAGGCATGAAAGGTGCACCCGCTAACCTTCGAGGGGTACTCCGGGATATTAGAAAATATATGGAACATCAACCAAAAACTGGAAAAAGTACCTTCAAAAATCCCTCGAAACGCTTGAATTCGGCTAAAAACACATCGAACGACTTTGTGGGCCTTTGATCCACCTTACAGGTGCACCTTCTCGGCAAAAATCCTGGGTCCACCACTGGGTGCATACATCTGTCTCCTGCATACATGACCGAACCATCACAGTCATCCCTCATTCTATTTGAGATAAGTGCTACTCCCAACTCTGTTCAGAAGACCTTGATTGGTATCCTATCTAGCATGATCCGAGTACATGTCCATCTGAACATCCTCACTTTTGTCACCTCCATCTTCCTCTCGAGTGTCTTCCTTATCGGCCCACATTCCGGACCATACAACATAACTAGTCTTATGCGCCAAAATTATATATACTACAAAGTTAGTACTACCAACCACACCCGTCTTCTGGAAAATGTTCACTTGACTGTTACTGTAACGCCCCAAACCAAAGTAGCAAGTTGACCCAATAACTTTGAATTCAACTTAAAACCATGACGGAAGTTTTTTGTAGCCCACAACTTTGAGCTTATAAGGAGCCTACCGATCTACTTTTCTATCTTTGTGGGATGAGTTGTTAACCCTAAACCCTTATAGTTCGCTTCCCGTTGTTCAAAATGCTATTGAGTTTATGATCAATTTAGTTTATCATATGGAGCTTTTACTTGAAAAACCAAACAAACCCAATATGCGCCATTCAGGAGTAGGGTCTGGGGTTGGGACGTTCGCAGACCTGTCGCCTACCCCTTACTCCAAAGAGTACGGTGCCTCTTTGGTGGTGAAAGCCCGAGTGTTGATAAGGTTTTTTTTAAAAAGGAAGAAATTGGAAAGAGAGAAGGAACTCGGGACCAAAATATGGAATTTTTACTTATTTTTTTGGAAGGGTAATGCAAATTGTGACTGCAAGAAATCAGTCCTGATAAACTTAGTGGCCACAAGCCCACAATTGTTGTGCACACTTGGAATCGAACCCTATGCAAATAAGATATTCCACCACATCTCCTAGGACCTCCACCACTACGCCACAACCCTTTATGGTTAAGTTTTTTACTTTTTAGTTGCTAAATGATAAATATTTAACGTGCAGGATAACGTCCGTAATCAGCTTATACAATTTGAGCTGTTACTGACTACCGCAACATTCGTTGTCGCCATCTTTGGGGTGGTGGCAGGTATATTTGGCATGAATTTTATGATTCCGTTGTTCGACAGTCCCTCAGCATTTACCTGGGTTCTGGTGATCACCGGGGTCACCGGAGCTGTCATTTTTAGCTCGTTTTTGTGGTTTTTCAAGCATCGAAGATTGATGCCGTTGTAGATTCGGGATTACAAGCAGCAACAGCAGAAGAAGAAAAGGAGTATGAATCTGTTAAAAGTGTTAATTGTTGTTGCCAAATCTTGTTTTAATTATAATTTTTATTAAAAGTTAAAAATGAAGCTCTCCTGCAAAGAAAATTCTACTTGATGAGCTTTGGTTTCTATGATAGCAACAAGGGGTTTCTAAGTGTACACAGAATGGTTGAAAATATGTATGAAAAACACAGGTTGCACATTTAGAAGCCATTTGGAAGCGTGTAACAGGCTATGTTTGGACGGACCTTGATAAATTGTGACTGCAAGAAATCAGTCATGATAAACTCAATGGCCACATAAGATGTGAGTTATAGTTTATAGATGGTTTACAAAACAAATTATAAGTAATTATAAGAATAATTAAAAATACCATTGATTATTACAAAACGAATGTATTTAATGTATTTTGAAGTATTATTGTAAATAAATCTTATAAAATCTCGCACTTTCATTGAAATTCTGGATTTTAATTCCATAACACTTTGTCCCACGTACGTTAGATTTGCAAAAAAAACTCGAGTTCGAAGCCCGGTCTAGAAAAGCCTGGACCTAGCGAACCCGAAGCCCGGTCAATTCCAGACCTCAAAGACCAATCCAGCTAAAAATTTAGAGATTGCCTAAAAAGCTTGAAAATTCGGTGCCAAAAAAAGCCCAACATAAAGAAGTCTGGTCGAACCATTTTTCAATCCCGATGGACCTAGCGAGCTCGAAGCCTAGTCAAGGCCAGACCTTAAAGACCAATCAAGCTCGAAATTTGGGTCTGCCTAAAAAAGCTTGAAAATTTCGGTTGAGCCAAAAAAAGTCCTGCCTAAAGAAGTCCAATCGGACCCTTTTCAATCCCAAAGACTGGCTTAGTCAAGTCTAGACCTTTTTGACTCACTAAAAACAGGCTTAAAAGGCCCCGGGAACAAACCCAAAAATCTTGAGCCTTTTGCATCTCTAACGTATTGACGTGTCATGGAAAAAAAAATTCTCACATTTTTCATTGGGAAAAATAGATGTCAAAAATAATATGAAAAACAACAGAGTCAATAGAAAACTACTTAACAAAATACCATTATTTGTGTTATCATATGATTTGTGATACCCAACTTAAGCCTTAAAAACAGAAGACTGATCCAATAACCTCAAAATCATGGTTAATATCATTAGTAACCTACGACCTTTAAGCTGATAAAGAAATCACAAACCTAATTTTCTATTTATAAAAAACGGGTTGTTAAGGATCATTACAAGGAATCAAAACGTTTGAAGTCGATACTCTCCATCAATCATTTAGCAGTGAAATGAAGACGTTCATTTCTAGCTCTATCAGCTTTCTCCAAGTAGTTTTGATGGGATTGATGTTTTGTACCTTCAACAAACAAACATATGGGCTATTTGATCGGTTTTCTATTAAGTCTTGTGGATAAAATTGATTATGTGGATTAATTTGTCTGTATAGATTATGAAAATTTTTGTTTAAAAAAGTTTTTCATAGATGGAAGGAATGTAATTTTTAACTGAAAATGATATGTTTGAAAAAAAACTTGACTTTCTACATAAATCTTCCCATAAAATCTTATCAAATAAGTTACATTTTATATCATTAAGCTTTGAAAACAAGATGAATCTATTGCCTTGTCTGAGAAGAAATGGCACCAATCGATTCAACAAACAAACTGATACATACATACATAAATTTTTATATATATATATATAGAGAGAGAGAGAGAAAAAGAGAGAGGTGAGTTATTATACAACCGCTTAAGTTTGTTCAACCAATACAACTCAATCTCAACCGTCCATTTAATTTGATGGATATGTGATTTCATAAAAGTTTTGATTGTTTACTAATATAAAATATTGATCATAATTAATGAACTCTAATAATCTTACATAAATATTCAAATTATAATAAATAAACTCTCATCATTTCTATAAATATCTCAATTGATTGTGTTACATTGACTATACAAATGAACATGATTGCATTAAAATATAACATATAATATATATATATATATATATATATATATATGCAAACATACATACATACATGCATATCATTCATGTATATTTTAAAATATATATTGTGAATAAAAATTATAAATTTAAATCTTCATGAAATGGACCCCCAACGTTTGCTATATTTGCAGAAACAGCAGAGCTTTTGCTATATTAGCTGGCAGTGGCACCACACCACTGAATGATGTCCACCTCACGCCTCACTCAACTTATCACTTCTCTCCTCCTAATCGCCGCCGCTGCAACCACCGTCTCCGCCACCGATCACATCGTTGGCGCCAATCGTGGATGGAATCCAGGCATCAACTACACTCTCTGGTCCAACAATCACACCTTCTACGTCGGAGACTTCATCTGTACGTATCCTCGATCTACACTTTCTATTCTCCGATATAAAATTTTGAAATCGGAAAACCAAAATTATCATGAAAATTCAATGCTGTTTGTGCCTCTATCATCAAAAATTGCGCATCTAATCTACATCCTCAATCGTTTAATTGCGTATTTTGAATGGATAACATTGCAGCATTTAGGTATCTGAAGACGCAGTACAATGTGTTTGAGGTGAACAAAACTGGCTACGATAATTGTACGCTCGACAGTGCCGTAGGGAACTGGAGCAGTGGAAAAGACTTCATTCTTCTCAACAAATCGCAGCGGTATTACTTCATTTGCGGCACCGGCGGTTGTTTTAACGGTATGAAAGTTACGATTCGTGTTCATCCGCTTCCTTCTCCTCCTTCCTCCGCCGTCGCTGCTTCCGAGCACTCTACTTCCACCGCCGCCGGTAAATCCATCTTCAATGTAGCGTTTGTGGTTCTGGCATCACTTATTTGGCTTGGATCTGGCACGATCTGTGAATTCTAAATGGTTAGAACTGAAAGATGTGTGGAGAAGTCTGCCATCACTCATCAGGTGTGTTCTCTGTTCAATCATGATTAGGCGTTTCAGTTTTGAATTTGTGTTTGCATGATTAAACCATTTTCAATTGGTTGTGCTATTTTTTTAATGTAATTTTTTTTGAAAAGGTGTCATAGTCTGTTTAAAGAATAATGCCGATAAATTATGACTAAAGACTTTCTTTCACAGTCGATGAATTGTTTGATGCAGAATGATTAAGTAGTCAAAATGATTAAGTGACTTTCATAATGCAGAGCAAAATGAAATATAATTGTTTGGTAATTGTTTACAAAGAAATTAGAGCGCTTAATGGTTAAGGGGTACCCAAGATACAAAATCATTCAGATGGTTTTAGAACCATTAAGAGATAAAAAAAATTTACCAAACAAGATTCAATTCTTAACGATTCAATGTTGCGTTTTAATAGAATTATTAAGAGGTAAACAAACAACCCCTAAAAAAATCAGTTATGATAAACAAAGTGGCCATAATTGTTATATACGTCTCAAATCCCGATCAGATGAGATATTCCATCAGATGCCCCCAACGTATCAACCACTACCCCACAACCCTTATGGTTAATAATGTAAAATTTCCCATATTTTTCTTGTTAAACCGAAAAAACCGTAAATTATATGATTAAATGTAGGGGTGAACAAAAACCTGACTAACCCTGTCGACCTAACCTGAAGCGACTTGATACTTAATCGAATTGTAAAATATTCAAATAGTAGGTATTTTGTTGGATTTGGGTTTAAGTCATTTGAGCCCAACCCAATTAGATGAGTTTGATGCCTTCTTATATCATAGATTTAATATGATTGTTAAGTTCTTAATTAATATATATAAATTAGATATTAGACCAACTCGTAATTAACATTTAACTCTATCCATAATTATATCACAATTTCAAATGTATTTGTATGTTTTCAATTTGATTTTATTTTGTTTAAACATGCTTGTTTAGCTATATTGTAAAATGATGTACCAAAGTTTCAACCCCGAGTAACCAAATCCAACTTGCACGGTTTGGTTTTCGATGGATTGCACTTTTATTTTTCGTTTAGCTATTGTAGCATTATAGAGAATAAAAAAGATAATTTTCTCTATTATGAAAAAACTCTTGGAGATGCTCTATGAACTCAATGAATTCATATTGTTTATGTTAATTTAAATAATTTATATTATTTTAATTTTATGCCATTTTAAATATTTATCGAACAATAATTTATTTTTCATTTAGGAATTTCCGTAAATATAAGGTTAAAATGGTAATTTTGTTGTTCAGTTTATTTATTTAGAACAAAAATTAAACAACAAATTTATCTTAATTTATCCAGACAGATTAATACTTAGAAACAACTTATTAGATTTAGAACTTAATGGATAAAAAATCAAACAGCCCCCAAGACCTTTATAGATAAAAAATATTATTTGATAGATAAAAAATAATGCAGGGACGGGTTTATGTGGGAGCAAGTGGTGTTTTATGTTGCTGTTTAGTGGTTCCTTCGTAGGAGAATTTTTTGCGGTCCTTAACAGTCAACAGTGTCATTGTAATTCGTCGTGAACCTTATAGTTGACCTTAGTGCAACATTCATATCCGTAAAATGCACGTTCACACACAAGTTTTCAAACTCGTTTTGGTCCAAGTTTTGCACCCCAGCACGAACATCAAGAGAGTCTTCTAGCCAAGGTTCTAAAACATGTTATGGCATTGCCGCCACGTTAAAGCCCATTGCACAACCTTGAGGTGTGGCTTGCAGTATGGCGTGTTATGGTGCGTTATAGCATGTTACGGAGCATTATGGTGGGTTATAAGGCGTCTTTGAGCGTTATGGCGGGTTGGGTTCACGTGAGAACACTCTGTTTTCATGAGACCAGTGAGACCACTTTTTTACACTGTGAAGGTTACCTTTATAATGTTTTGTTGTGAAGTTTGAAGTGTAAAAAAATAGTCTTACGGGTCTCATGAAAACAAACTATCTCACATGATCCCAAGTCTATATATATATATAGACAGACAGATTTTCCGCCTTGACACTTAAGCCACACCTAAAAAAACGTCATGCCTCACCGTAACTCGTAAGACCACCGTCACGCCACTTCCCACGTGATTTAAGACTACCAAACCATCTATAAAACTCCCACTTCATTTCATTTTTTCGACATATGTGGGGCAATACGTTTCACTCTCGAACACTCATTCCAATTGCAACATTTCCGTCCATCGATATTTAATTTCCATGGATTTCTATTTAGGCGTGTGATATTATTACGGCGTTGTTTCAACAAAAGTTTTCCATGAACAATCAAATCAATTTATATATACTCATTGCCTCATTGAAGGTTGATTATATTTATACATTATATATACTCATTGCCTCATTGAGTTATTACTGTATTATCTTCGGTTATTAATTTAGACAATACCAACATAAAACACTGGTTTTTCTTTCTATCAAATAGCTGATATACAACAAACAGTAAATAAAATTATAGTCAAGAGAAAAAAAAATAAAGTTTGATTACTGAGAGTGTTCTCGTCTTAAAACTCATATCTCACACCACTTTAAACTTGTGAGATGCCATGGCTTAATATGGTATGCCTGATCGTTTAGTCAATATCTGGTTTTTTATCTTATCTTTTTAACGTCTTACTTTTTTTTTTTACTTTTATGTATATAACCTAATTTAAATTGTTTATCACCATTGAGTAATATATAAAAAAAAACATATACGTATATGTATACACACACACAAAAGGTAGGGTTTTGGTGAAAAAGAGAGTTAAGGTGAGAAACATAAGAATGGATCTCCACCATTTGATGCACATTACGATGAGATGCACCGGATCAATCATCGTATCAAGCGCGATTCATGGGTGAGTTTGAGTTTAAAGATGATCAAGGCTCCAGATCATTCTTATGTTTCTCACATTAACTCTCATTCTCACACGATCCTTCCCCTCACACATACATACACACACACACACACACACACACACATATATATATATATATATATATATATATATATAGGGTTGGGTTCACATGAGACCAGCCTGTTTTCGTGAGACCCGTGAGACCACATTTTTACACGTAACCTGCACAGCAAAAACACTGTGAAGGTTTAAAAAAGTCGAACCTTCACAGCAAAAACACTGTGAAGGTTTTAAAAAGTCACCTTCACAGCATTTTGTTGTGAAGTTTCAAGTGTAAAATGTTGGTCTCACAGGTCTCACGAAAACATGCTGGTCTCACATGATCCCAAGTCTATATATATATATACTTGAGATAATGTGAGACCAAGGGTTTTTCGTGAGACTCGTAAGACTAATTCTCAATCATTGGATTAGATCTACAATCTGAACATTCATAAAAGTCACGAGATTTCTCAATAATCACAAAATTGTCATTGTACAACCTTGACCATTAGATCATTAGCTTATAAAGTTGATCAATGAACATAAATTGGTCTTATGAGTCTCACGAAAAAACCCTTGGTCTCACGTGAACCCAACCATATATATATATATATATATATATATACACACATACACACATATAATACACATTTTTGCCATCATAAATAATGCCTTAAAAAATGTCATGGTCCCGTTGTAACTCTTAAAGACTTCAGATTTGACCCTATAAATCTCATATAATTTAGAATCTCGAGTTTTTTCCGTATTCACATTAAACCAAAATATAAAAATAAGAAAAGAGAAAGAAAAACAAGTCATTTTGAAGACGAGTTTTGTGGTGTAGACCCGGTCCACTCGTGTAGGGCCCGGTCCACCAACATATCCCTAATTTCTAATTGTTTTTGACTTTTAAGCCCACATCGACCGGTCCGTTCCTTCCGACCACGGCCTACTCTTTAAATATTTGTCATCGTTTTCAAGAGTTGATTAAGAGGAATCTCGTTGACTCTCGTGGGTTGGTTGGGTTGTTTGGTTGGTATGATTAAGAATTAATTTTATTATAAATAAATGCGGTGAAGAGGGGGATGCTTCTTTACTTGACAGGAAAATGACGGGTCAACAACTCCGAATCACAGATCATTTGTACAGACATACTTTTTGGTGCTAAGATCCAGAAATACCTCGAACGGTGTCACAATCTGTTCGACGTACAATCATGTGTTAACTTGTTTTTTATTTATATTTTAAGCAATTTAAGTCTTATTTTGATATTTACGATAAGGTATTTTTAACAAGAAAGTTTTTAAGACCGAAAAAATTCAAATTTTTTGTTCATTTTTTCTTGGCACGTTGTTGTCAACTCGATAAATTAGGGGTGTTCGTGGTTCGGTTTTGGACGGTTAAGCCCCTCAAACCGCGAACTAAACGTAATGGCAGTTTGGAAAATTATCCAAATCGAGCGTCTTGAAAGGAAGGGACCAAATGGTCAAATTAGACCTGTCATTTGGTTTAGGCGGTTTGGATCTATTATGGGTTTTAAACTAAAAAAATACCATGTATCTCTATATGATGAAATTTCTACCAATATAGCGTTGTCTAAAAAGTAATATTACAGAATTATAAAAGCAACATTTATCTTCAAAAAGAATTTTTAAAAAAATGAGCAAATTTAGAAAAAGTTAAACAAGTCCACCAACAATAGTTGGAAGTTTGGACAAATATTGAGTACGTCGAATGACGATTTGGAATTTTAGAATTGAATTTTGACGCATTTCAGAATTTTGCAGATTTAGGGAACGCGGACGATGGAAAAGTGAAAACTAGAAACTTAATGTCTTTGTTGGACTTTTTCTTAATTGTGGCATAAAATTTGAGCCTATAACATGAAACATAAATGTAAGTATACACGTATGTTTTGGCCGTCGGTTCAGTGCAAACACTAAAAAACATTCAAAATGCAGACTGGACAACTCACACCGCTAAAAACAGTCTAACTTCGACTTGGTTCAACCAGTTTGAACGGTCCAACGGTTTTTTTGAACACCCTTACAGTAAACTAAGAGGTCGTTAGATTTGCACAATTTGGTGGGGTCTGATGGCAGATCCATTCAAATCCGATGTTTCATTACCATGGTAAGAGTCGTCACCTTCACTTACCAGGTAAGACTCTCAGTCCTTGTCTCCCTCGCATCGAGTAAGATTCTTGATCCTTACCATATTCATCAAGTAAGGTAATGTGACCTAGTAAACGCTTATTCCGGGTAAACGTTTAGTAAACAGCCCCTTAAATCTTTCAAAAATATCCCGACAAACTAAACGAACCATAGAAACCTCCATAAAATATCACTATGGTAGTCACTAACAGTAACCTCCTTTTTGTGGGTCTCATGCACTTTTTCAGTGTCGACATATAAGTAAAAACCAGATACATAATTTTAAAAAATTAATATTTAACACAATAATAAAGATAAGAATCAATGTTTTTGTACAATAACTCTTCTTTATGGTTGTAAATATTTGAATAAAAATCTCCTGATGTTAGCTCATCTAGCAACAAGTCTTGGGCCTTTACGGATTCTCCTCAGAGATCACATGTTCGAGTACTGCAAAGTCACTAAGGGTCTTTCTGGCTGTTCTCTAGGACCCTTGGGATTAGTCGAGGTATGCATAAGCTAGACCCACCACTCACAGTTAACAGAAAAAAAAAAATTTAATACAGTTTGAACTATTTTAACTCATTCAACATGTTTTTCTTGAGCCATTTTCCATTTTACTCACTCGTTCAATCAAAATACAGAATATAATCTAAATCGAAAAAGTTTTAAATAAATTGATCAAAGTTGTCACATATGATAATATTATACGAGTACGTAAATCATGCAACTTTCCATCAAAGGTACGTATGTACGAAAAACATGTTACCCGCTTCTGAACCATGTTAGAACCGGTGGTCCCTGTTTTTTTAAAACCGAATTGATTTAGAGTCAAAAAACCACAAACCAAAGAACATACATGGTTTAGGTTTTTTTTCAAACCTTAAACAAAACTGCATGTCTCAAACCGTAATAAGTAGCATTGCATTTATAATCAATTGCATCATAATGCTTATAAGAAAAAAAAATAAAAATTTGATAGTCCATGCATTACACCGTGGCGGACCCAGTAATTTTATCGAGCAGTTGCACCTTTAAGGTGGATGAAAGACCTGCAAATTCATCCTATGTGTTTTTAGCCAAATTCCACCGTTTCAAGGGATTTTTTAAGGTTTTGGTCGATTTCGAGGGACTTTTTCAGTTTCTTTGGTCGATAAATGAGAGTAATGACTCTTATCCGGTAATCGCTTACTGAAGAAAAAAAATGTTGCATATAATGTTGTTTTAATAGGCTAAAATCTTACCGTGTAAGCTAAGTGAAAGTATTGACTCTTGTCGATAAGTGTAAGATCCCATATCGGTTGTGGAAGAGAACGAAAGTTGCATTATAAGAAACTAGATATATCTGCTATCACATATTTTAAACCGTGAATCCGTGTATATAGACAAAGAAGATAATATCTTATACGGTTAACGTAAGATGTTGTGGTAAACGTTTATTTGGTAAAAATTGGATATAACAAATCAGTATTATTATATTGTTTTATATGGAAGCCCAAAAGAAAGCATGTATAAGTAAGTGGCAGGAATTCCTTTTACGCCTTACAAGAAAAACAAAACTAAAAGACAAGTTGCTCACTCTTACTTCCATTTTCTTTTTTTGATGTTGATTTATGATGAATTTTGGTTACTTTATGTGACGTGTCGAATTATTATTAATAAAATTAATAAATTTAAAAAATATATTTAAAATTTTGTAAATAATATTTGTATTATTTTATTTAAAATAATTATTTATAAAATTCAAAATAATTTTAGTAAATCAACCTAATTAATTATAAGCCATTGTCCAAACTCAATGCATTTTAATATATATATATATATATATATATATATATATATATATATATATATCAGAAGTTTATTCGTACAATACAACGAGATATATTTTTTTATCATTTGAAGACTATTATTATTTGAAAATATATATTGATTTTAGTATAAATTAACGATTTAAAAGTTACTATTTTTTTATATAATTTGTTTAATTTAATTTTTATTATAATTTAATTAATGTTTAATAAGAATGTAATTATTTTAGGTTTAATGATAATTAAGTATTTTGTTAGAATTCAATAAGCATCCTAATTATATTTTAGATTTTTTTTTATAATGAGATGTTTATTATGTATTTGATTTTTCAATTAGTTATATGAATTCAAAAATATAGCTTTAAAAAGTTGTATTCATGTATTATTTATTTATAATCTTAAATTTTAAGTAATATATATCAATAAATAGTAATTGATTCATAAAAAAAATAATTTTTAAGAATTTTTTCTTAAATATTTTATAATACAGTATAGATGTGGACCTATTTACACTTATGACCTTCTGATTTATTAAGAAAAATAATAATAAACTTTGTAAAAAGTCATAAATTTAATTAAGTTATGCACATGAATACATATGGATTATTTTGCTTGATAGCTTTTTAAATGAAAATGTTATCAACAAAATAATCTTCTAACAAGTTTTAAAAATAATAAAAAAAATGTATATATAAAAATAACATTCTTAAACTTGTTAGAAAGTTATTGAATGATTTAGTGCAGAACGATTAAGTGGTCATGATAATTAATAGGCTCTCACGATATAGTACAAAATGAAATATAATTGTTTGGTAATTGTTTATAATAGAATTAGGGCGCTGAATGGTTAAGGTAGGTCGATGATACAAAATCAGTCAGAGGATTTTAGAATCATTAAGAGACAAACTTTTTTTTGCTAAACAAAATCCACCTTTTAACGATTTAAATGATGTCTCTTAATGGAACTTCTAAAAGGTAAACAAACCACCCCTTTATTTTATTTTTTAAGAATGTCATTCAACCTTTGGATCCCTTTGTATATGCGATCACAAAAACAAAAGTAAATACGAAAGAATGAATGATCACATAATTTAATTTCGAACACATAAAGAGAAAAAAGAAAAACAAAGCTTATAAATCGATCAAAATACGCATACTCTACAAACATATATACAAATACGACAATATCACACATCGTGATCGATTCCAAAAACGAAGTTGTTTGCGTATACCCCATCTTTTGTTACTAATTTAATAACGTATTTTTGGTAATTCATCAGATAAAAACGTGCACGAAATTCAAACTGATGATCTTTAACTTATCGTAACAAATTCTCAATCATTTAATCTTGTGGGGTTAGCTCAACTGACAATAAAGTTAATACCTCTAAGAATTCTCTTCAGACGCCACTGCAAGGATGTTAAAGATTTTCCTAACTGTTCTCTAGGCCCCAGGATTAGTCGAGGTGCACAGAAGCTGACCTGGACACCCACAGTTAACATAAAAAATTCTCAACCATTTGAACAAACTCCAAAATGCACATCATCGAGTCCTATTTTTCTGCTAACCATAGGTATCAGAGCCAGATTGCACGCGCATTGACTAATCCTATAAGTTTTTAAAGATAACAGTCTGAAAAATTTCCAATGGCCCTCGGAAGACTCGAACTGTCAAAATGCTACGTTGTATTGTCCTTCAATCGGCATTGTTCTTGTTCTTCCTCCTCGATCTTGATCTCCCGACCAATTTCGAAGGTGGGGACGGGGAAAACTCGTATGGGAGAACCGGGAGATCGATTTCTCCTTTCAAGATTTTTACAATATCCGCGATATCGGGCCTCAACTCCGGCATCTTTTGTAAACAAGCGAGCGCCAAATTAACACACAAGCTTGCTTGCGCCTTATTGTAGTCGTTTTTCAATTTTTCATCGACCAATTCTAACAAATCGCCTCCTTGAGCTAATTGCCGACACCAACTTATCAAGTTTGCCTTCTCGAGCTTCATCGGGGAAGCAAGAACGTGTAACGGTCTTCGGCCCGAAACAATCACGAGAATCAAAACGCCGAAACTATAGATATCAGCTTTCTCAATCAAGAATCCGCAGCCACCGTATTCTGGTGCGACGTAACATAGTGTCCCCCTCATGCTCGTCGTACTGCTCAATTCTCGACTGAAAACGTCTCCACTCCACATCTCGTTGTTCTTCGAATTCTTCCGGAAACTGAACTCTTTGTTCGGATCAAATCCGTTCTCGAGATCACGACCCGTTGGTTTTCTTTTTCTTCGGAAGATCGAGAGTTTGAACCGTCGTTTGATCTTCTTTTCGACCTTCTTCTTGCTGAGTTCATCAAGATGTTCTTCCTTCCACCATTCCTGCATTTTCCGATGACGTTTTTCACTGCACGGTGGCCGCCACCCCCTTGGTTCTTCGTGCTCGAATGCTTTATTATCGTGCGAATCCTTGAATTTGTTCAATCTCGTTGAATGATCCAAATCAGGTTTCTCAGAGTTCTTATCGTCGTCCCAATCTGGATTCGCCGGCGGGCAGATTTGACTTCCGATCCATTCTCTGACGTAATCTTTGCTACAAAGCTCGCCGCTGCCGTCTTGCTTCCACCACCAATCTTTCCCCCATTGTTTCTTACCAGTTTTGTGTTCATCGTCACAATGATCAGAAGGATTCAAATTCGATTCTCTACTGTGATTATTATCAACGGTAAGACCTAAATCATCATCATAATTCGTAAATTTATTGTTAATCCAATCATTGCCGGCGCCGGAGCCGTGTTCGTTATTACCGATCGAAAGCTCCTTTCCTTTATCGTTCATAAACCCTAACCCTTTCAGACGATTACAAACAACCTTACTATTGATCGGTGTAGAAGATGAGGAAGCTTGTAGAGCGAGAGAGAAATCTACCTCATTATCGACTGGAGTTCCAATCGCTGGAGACTCGCCGGCGCCGGCGCCGGTACCGGCTAAAGTTCCAGACAGATCCTGACTGAACAAATCAACACCGAATTCAGGCTCGATCTTCAATCTCGATAATCCGAAATCGGAAAGCTTTGCTCGGAACTCTGTATCCAGTAAAACGTTGCTAGGTTTTACGTCGCCGTGAATCACCGGCGGATCACATTCACGGTGGAGGAACTCGAGTGCTCTAGAAACATCTAGAATGATCTCGAATCTCCTGTCCCAATTCAAGCTACGTTCAGAGAAAAGCGATTCTTGTAAGCTCCGATTCGGCATATACTCATAAACAACCAATCGTTTCCTCTTATCTACACAATATCCTAACAACGAAACAACGAATTGCGATTCCAATCCGCCGAGTATCCGAAGCTCGTTCTGGAATTCCCGATCGGCATCCATGGATTCCGAATCAAGCAGCTTCACCGCAACGAGTTTTCCATTTCTGAGTATACCACGGTACACAGTACCGGAACCGCCTTTTCCGATGTAATTATCGTCGGAGAAGCCATTAGTGGCGGAGTTAAGCTCTTTATAGCTGTAACGACGGAGTTTCAAAAGACATGAATCAAGCGGACTAGTACGAGAACGACGAATCAACGAATACCAAAGGTAATAAAGCAAGTAAACAACTCCAATAACTATAACAAGAGACGAAAAAATGGTGATTACGAGAAAGATGAAAGTAGCCCTATGTTTTGTGGTCTGTTGATTAGGGAAAGAAGAAGGTTGTTGTCTAGAAGGCATTGTGTGCTAATTTTCTCGATCACCTACAAAAAAAACAAAGAACATATATAGTGAAAAATGGCGGATTCTAGGGTTTATACTTGTAGTTGCATTCATCCGCCATGGGAGGAGCTTGACGCAGTATCCGAGAGTCGTTTATAGCTTTACAGTTGGATAATCATACAAAAATGGGGTTGATTTTTGAAGGAAATCTGATGTTAATGATGAAGGATTGTTTGATTTGAGAAATGGTGGGGAGATTAAGAAGGGACCCATGGGGCAGTATAGCTTTTGACTAAAGAGAAAGAATTTGCAGGTAAGGAGAACGACTTTTTGGGGAGAGACGAAGGAAAAATGGAGGGAACACGGTTACAGGTGGAGTGCAGGACCAGTATTCCAGTTTGGAATGAATTGATTTCGTTTTATTATGTTTTTATTCCCTGTGGTTTGTTCAAATTACGGTTTTAGTCCCTATAGTTTGTAATTTATTGTTGTAACCTCCGACCAAACTATTAAAAATAAAACATTAGAAACACAAAATGATTTTATTTACCTCTTAATAGTTCCATTAACATACATCATTTGAAGCATTAAGATGTGAATCTTATTTGGCAAAAAATTTTTGCCTCTTAATGGTTCTAAAATCCTCTGAATGATTTTATATTTTGGATCTTTCTTAACCATTCAGCGCCCTAATTTCATTCTAAATAATAATCAAACAACTATATTTCATTTTGCAGTATATCATAAGAGGCTCTTAATCATTCTGCATTAAATCATTCAGCAACTGTCAAACGGTTCCTAAGAAAATGAATTCCAACCACACAATAAAAAACATCGTTAATATAATTATAATAACAAAAGAATATATGTTTCTATAAAAACTTAAATATTATTATTATAAAATTATAAAGACTTAATATTTGATTTATAGATGTCAACTTTATTGATTGTTAATTTTTTTAGTGTTCTAGTCATGGTTCTAAATAACTCGTTATGGCGTTAAAGTTTGGATTTGTCGCTATATTAATCTATGTGGCTACATTCTAAGGCTTGACTTGCATTGTAACGCTTTATGACGCATTACACGCGACTTTAGCTGAGATTTGAGGTTGCAGGCCATGTTGCTATCACACCCTTGCGTTCCTGTTAATGCAAAATCCATATGATTCTACACTTGATTTGACTGCTTTCACATTTTTCTTATTTTTTTTATTATTATCTTTTGAACCTCCCTGAAATTAAGTAATAATATTACATATTTTAAATGTTCTTGAAAAATAAATTTTAATATTTACATAAGTGAATGACAGTCAAGTTGATTTTTATTTTGTAATTTGTGTTGTCTTATATTAATTGTTAATTGCTAACATTTTTTTTCCCAGTTTTTAAATTGTATCTGAATTAATAAATATTGCTCGAATAAGTTCAATAAACCACTTGTAAATATGATGCGATGTGGTTTGAATCACGGTTTGATAACTCAAAACCGCAAACCGCAACGCATATAGCGGTTTGGTATAAATTCAAACAGCAAATCGTATCACAAAAGTTCTAAACTGCGCTTAGCAGTGCAATGTGATGTGGGCGGTTTGTGCGGTTTTGCGGTTCACATGAACACCCCTACATCTACGTACGATGTTATGATTTTGTTCACATTTGAAATTTTGACACTGTATAAAAGCAAATTTTGAAAATATGTGAGATTTAAACATGAACCATTATCGATCGAATTAATGTAGTGTTTAACACATTAGATTTAAAATATCTTATATTAAGGGGGGGAAAATCCCCAATTCCTTTGTCGAAGACGGGGATAAGGATATGATTATACTCTCTGGTAAGGAAGGGGGGATGGAGAGTGGAATCGGGAACAAGGATGGGGATTCAGATCTCTTCCCCATCCAGGGCCCATTCCTATGCATATATATAAATTATTTAATTATAAAGTATGTTACACTTTGGTCCTTGTGGTTTTTCATACATTACGAATATGGTCCATGTGGTTCATTTATTGCATTGATGGTTATGTTGTTTGCAAATTCTTATAGATTTTGCCCCTATTGCAGACATCGTCCATGAGAAGTTGAGACTACAATTGTTTGTTGTGTCTCCTTGTTGCTTTGTCTTCTTAATGGCTCATGAGATCAAAGATCTCCGCCAAACTTGATTTCTTTCTGGGCTATTGATCGTACTCAGCCATCCAATAACTCGATTAACGTCAACTGTTTTTGTAGATCTACATAACCATTGAGGGATTGTTTAGTTTCAAACCCAGTTTGATCATAATGAATTTGATTTATTCTTAATTTGTTTGTATAATGTGGCATGATGAACAAGAACAAGAAGCAATTGGAACGGTCGCCAGAGTGACTGTCGAAACAACCTGGAATATGGTACGGAAAGGGAGGAAGGCAACTGAAGGGATAAAACATGTGGCATGCTAGTACTGACTGAATTGACATGGCATAAATAATTATTACACAATCACCAAAATACCCTTACATGATGGACACTTGACAAGCCTTCATGGATGACATCCACACTAGAGACTAAGGTCATGTTTGTTAGAAGTTTAATGAGCTTAATAAGACTCACAACCTTTTCAGTTAGCTATAGATAACTATTTAGTAGTAATTTAATGATATAGAAAGTGACTTATTCAGTAAGCTTATATGGAGAACTTTATGTGGAAAGCCAAATTCTATCCCAACTTACCCCGCCCAATTAAAAAAACACGTTCATTCCATTTATGAAAACTTCATATGAAACAAAACTTTTTCAATCTATACAAGACATATTAATCTACACATACTACTTTATCAATACAATACTTAATAGAAAACCAATCAAACAACACATAAATCCGCCCACATCGTCAATGTAGTAAACAAACCAATAAACCAAATCCGATATTTTCGACAAACCACAGGGACCAAAACCGTAATTTACTCTAAATCATACACGGAAGTCGAAGGTGATGATAAGAATGCATAAGTGAGTTGTACCATGGGGTACAAGTGTTTAGCGATAATATCCATGTGAATGTGATGGTAGAATGGTGGTGAGTGGGGCCCCCACAAACCTCAAAGCTGTTTGGTTTTAGTGATTGACTGTCGTCTCAATACTCTACATATTAATTAATAATATCCTTTTATTCGAATTAAAAAAATCCATTTTTAAATCTATATCTCCTTAAAATATATTTTAAATATTTAATTACTTAATTAAAAAATATGGAATTATTAATCAAATATTTATAAACATTTAATACAGATGGAAACAAAAATAACCTATATATTTATTGGGTTTGTTTTCTTTATAGGATTTAGGGGTTATTTGTTTACCTGTTAATAGTTTTATTAGAGTCTGAATTGTTAAGAGATAAATCTTGTTTGACAATTTTTTTTGTCTCGTAATGGTTCTAAAACCCTTTGAATAATTTTGTATCATGGGATTAAACAATTACCAAATAATTATATTTCATTTTGCACTATATCATGAGAGTCTTAATTATTTTGACCACCTAATCATTCTGCATCAAACCATTCAGCAATTACCAAACAGGCCCCTAGTAGGAATTCGAGACTTAATTTCATTTTAGGGGACAAGAACATGTAAAATTATGATAATTTTGAGAACTGATGCATCATGTGTTATTTTACATGATTTATGTTTTATTTACGGCTTGGATTTAGTGTATTGATTAATATATATTTATTTTAAAATGTGTTGGTTTCACATATATTTGTTTCACAATGTGAACATTTTTTTATGTTTTTATGAAACATAAAATACAACTAAAATGTTTCACATTGTTAAACGAATATATTATGAAACAAATATATGTTAATTAATATATTAACTTTCAGCCCTAGATCGAAAAAATCATGCAGAATAATACATTATGATAATAATCCTAATAGTTGATCACAATAAGATTCACAAATGATTAAGCTTTTTTTTCATTTTAATCCCATATTTAGTTTAAAGTAAAGTTTAGAATTTAAATCTTATAAACAAATAATTTAGAAATGGACAAATTTCATGAAAAAGTAACGTACTTAAACTTGATTACTATTTTGGATAACGTATTTTCAAGACTTTCGTTTTGATACATAAGATGTAAAGTTTTAAACATTTAAGTACTCTGGTAATCGGTTGAAGATTACTTTTAGATTAAAAAAATCCATATCATTAACTACGTCAATAAATAATACTGAGTTGGATACCACATCAGCATGATAATCGGTTAATCCTTCAACCAATTATCCGGGTACTTTAAAACTTTAAATATTAGCTATCAAAATGAAAGTTTTGAAAATACGTTATCCAAAATATAAATCAAGTTAAAGTACATTACTTTTTCATATAATTTACCTATTAACTTTTCTAATTAATTTTTACATTTTTATAACAAATAATTATTAATATAAAAGTAGAAGAAGCATTAAATTACATTATTTAAAACTAAAATGACGCCATAATTATTTAAACATTTACTATTAGAGGCATATAATATTCTTTGAACTTAATTGTGTCATCAAGGTACTCTGAGGACAATTTTGTCTTTTTCAGAAAATGTCAAAAGAGGATCATGGGATCCTTTATAAAGTGGTGGTAACCCCCCTTTTCCATTTATAAATTACGTCTCATTATTATGTTCTTTAAAGAGTGGCTTTATAACAGTTTTTCTATAGAGCAAATTACAATTTTAGTCCTTATAGTTTGTTGTTTATAACTATTATCGTCCTCGATTTTTAAATATTGTTTTTTAGTCCCTGTGGTTTGGGTTTCATTTCCCTTTTTCGTCCCTGAGGCTAATTTTTTTTAGAAAACCCCGTTAAGTTGGAGAGTAATATGATCTTCTTATTTTTCATTTTTATTAAGTATTTATATTATGACAAATTGTATGAAAAAACAACGTATTTTAACTTGATTCATATTTTAAGTAACGTACTTTCAAAACTTCTAATTTTGTACCTAATATGTAAAGTTTTAAACTTTTAAGTACCAGGGTA